TTTATAGATTATTTAATTTATTTTCTAACCAATTTATTTTCTATAAAAGAATTTGCAATATGAGAAGAAAAAAATTATAATTGTTAAAATTTAAAATTTAAATTTATTAAATGTTACTTTTAAAAATCTAATATATATATAAATATTATATAACAATATACATAAATAAGTTTGACACATAAGCGATTTTTAAAAAAATAAGATAATTTCTTTTAATTACAAATTAGATAATTTTAAATTTATTCAAATATCAAAATTATTTAAATTATAATAAAAAATCAAATCAATTTAGAGATATATTTTTTAAAATAAAAAATAAAAAATATATATTTTATTTTTTTAATAAATAATTTTAGTTGACCAAATAACCTTATTTAAAATTATTTAATTATCAAAATCTTTCAAATATGTTTAAAAATTATAAAAATTAAGTTTATCCAAATATTTCAATAATCTTATCTTGATTTAAAAATTTTATGTAAGACATTAAAAATTCAAGTAACTTTAGTAAGATTTTGAAAATTCAAAAAAATTTCATCTTAAATTTTTAAATAATAAGATCATCAAAATTATTATATCCATTTGAACTCTAATTATCAAATTTATAGTTCAAATAAATATAAAAAAATTAATATTATTTTTATCACTTATTATATCTATTTTAAATTTTAAAAAATTAATTTAAAAATTATCTATGTAATCCTAATTACCACCAAAAAATTCTTCTACAAATTTAAAATTACAAATGTAATGTGTTATACATCAATTTTTTTAATAACTTTTTTTCAATGTATATTCTATTACTATTGCAATTTTTTTTTTTTTTGTTTATAACTTTTTTTTCAAAATGTATTTTATTATTCTTACAGTTTCATTCTTATGAAAAATAATTTTTTTTTCAATTTATTTTTTTCTTTTTTCACATATTTTCACATTTTTTCATATTTTACATAATAATTTAGTTAAGATTATTAAAGTGAAAATATATTAATACTTCTTTTATTATTTAATTTATCATTTAATAATATATATTTTATTTTTTTAAGAACAAAATAATTTATTTTTATTTGAGATAATCTTACAGGTATATAAATATTATTGTAAATAATATTATCCAAAAGAAATAATTTTTTTCTTGTTGTTTTCAAAAAATTTATTTTTTAATAACAAGTCAATATATATAAATTTTATATATGTTATGAATTTTAAAGATTTAAATATAATTTTAAAAAAAATTAATTTATATATTTATATATATTTATATTAAATAAATAAAATTATTTTGCGTATCGTATAGATTATAATTTAGTTATTATATAAATCAATTAAGTTGAATTTAAATTTTATTTTATAGCAAATCTACTAAAGTATAAAATAAATAATAAAAAGGTAATAAATAAATAGTCTTCTTTTATTATTTTTAGCCTTAGATTTTTAATTCTAGTCCTTCAATTTTTTTCCTTTTACTTTCTAATATACTAACTTGTTGAGCTAGATTTTAATAAATAACTTCTTTTTCACTTTCTTTTTATTTCAGTTTTTTTTTTTAAGCAAACAGTCATTTTCTTTCTCTTTCTAAAAAATTATCACTATCTTTAACCCAAAAAAGTTTTATGGCAAGAGAATTACCTCACCACTGGTGACCTCAACCATTTTCACTCTTGCTTAAAATGAAAGAGAAAAAGAAGTTAAATCAAAATACTATACCGGTAAATCAAGATGGCATTCTCGAATATGAAAATCCCATATCAACATTCCATGTGAAAAAAAAAAAAGTTTGCATCAAAATCTCATGCAATGTTTAGATAAATATTAATAAAAGAAAACAAAACAAAAGAAATGAAAGCAAAAAAAAGTTTTTTAAAGAAAAAAATATATGTATCCCTTATTTAGACAATTAAAATTAATAAAAAAAAATTCTAATAATCATTATTTGGATAAAAAGTGAAAAAAAAAAATTCATTATAATAATTTTTTTCAACTATAATCTTTCATTGTTTATAATTTTAGAGTACTATCGAACCATGAGATATTTGTTATCTTACTTTATCTCACAATTACTTCTATATCAGTGATTTTTATATTGAAAGAGACATATGAAATTTACTTGAAAAAAGAAATAATTTTGAAAAAATTACAGAAAGATTGTGATGTGATTAGGGTTTTTTTTAAAAATTTTTAGTATTAATAAAAAAATAGATATAATAGCCTTTTATAAAAACAAAATTTTTTCAACTTTATTTTTATTAGCTTTTTCCTCAAATTAGGGGTATTAAAAAAGTGAAAAATATAAAAGAAATTAAAGGTTATTGAGTTTCTAACTCTTTGCTTTCATTTAAATTAAAAATTTATCTAAACAAAGAAAATATTTTTTTATTTCCATTATTTTTCTTTATTTTCCTATCCTTTCTTTCCCATCTCCTCAATCCAAACATATTATTAATGATTAAAATGTTAACTTTGTTAAATTTTGGATTAAATTTTCAAATTTTGAAAATAAAAGATTTAATTTATTCAAATTATTGTGAGGAATTAAGTAATGATTTTGACAAGAGTACAAAAATTAACTTGATAATTTGACTTTCTTTATATCTTTGGACGTATTGATGGAAAGAATGAAATGTTCAAAATGTCAATCCTTGTCTAAAATTCATGAAAATTTTCATTCATCGACGAAAATTACTTAGAAAAGCACATAAAACAAGTCAATTCCTATGATAAATGAAAAAATATATAAAAATAAAAAATATTAATTAGAAGGAATCTTAATGATTTTGAATTCATAGTTTTCATTTCATTTTCACATCATCACGATATATTCGTCTTTTTTTAGAAAAATCATATTAATAATTTAAATATTCGTAATAAAGTCAATAATATAAGCATTATTAGCGTTTAATTTTTCTAACAATACAAGTTTAGTTTAGTAATCTTCTATGTTAATAGTAAAATGGTATGAAATTTAAACCAAGAGATTGTCTAGTTAATTTATGTATTTACTTTTAAAAATTAATATCTAATAAATTTGATATTCAATTTTTAATCTTGATTATTTGTGTATATCCGATTTCGACTTTTTTTTTAATGTATAAATTCAAAGTGTAGCAAATTATAAAGAAAAAAAATTGAAAGTCTCTTATGAAATTTAAAACTATTTATAATTTTCTTTTCAATTTTATTACTTTAGTATTTATGAATCAATTAAAAATCTTGGGACGAAAAAAGTGTATTCTCCACCCGAAAATCAATGACGAACAGTGAATGTAGGATGAGTTCTCTGGCGTGAAATTGGGCCAATCCTATTTCAATTCAGAGTGCAACAAAATATGAACAAAAATAAAGATATGATGTTCTTTTTTTTTTTTTTTAATCTTTAGGGGATGATGTTCTTTTCTTTTTACATAGGAAAACACGTGATTTTTTAATTTAAAAGAGTTGGGCTTTTTTTTTTTTTTCTTATTGGAAAGGTAATTAATTTCATTGAATTATACAAAAAAAAAAATCATTTGATACACTATCAATTTTTTAATTTCACAAACAAATTTAAAAAATAACATATTTAATAATTTTTGTCTAAATACCTGCTTTTTTTTTGTAATTTTTAACTTTAGTGTTGAATAATAGATTTAATAATTTGTATTTTTTCAGGGAAAAACTCAACCTCATGATTTTAATCTTAATTTTTATTCAAGGAAATTACCAAATAACTTCAAGTTGTTCATATGTAAAAATTTTGAAACATGTGCGGATAGAATTTGTTCTGATTTAATTGCAATAAAAAACTGATATGTACCGAGGCAAATTTGCATAATGACAATTATGAAAATGATATGATGCTAGAACAATATATATATAAAATTAATTTTTTTATTTTTTAAAATATTATTTTTTAATAAAATGTGAAGGTAAATCATAGAACCACGAATATATAATTTAATATTATTTTTAGATTTGTTGATATCATCAAATATTTGATTCATTAATTGATACATTATTCAAGTTCAAAGAACAAATTTAAATCCTCTTTATTTCAAATTTAAAAAAAAAAAGTCTCTTTGTAGATCGTGTATTAATATGAATATTTTTAATTTTTTATATATAAAAATAAAATAATTAAAATTGTGATGATATTACAAGTTGAATTATTATTTCATACGTCGAAGAATTAAAAGATTATCAAGTGTTTTTTTAATTATAATAATTTTTTATATTTTTTAATGTATCAATCTTAATTTGTTACTAAATTTTAAAGATTTTAGTAATGACATATAAAATAATTTTTTTAAGAGTTTATATAAAAAAAATAAAAAGTTGCTTTTTAATAAAAGATACATTGATTTGTAAATTTTTTTCGTATAAATTTAAATTTAAATTTAATTAATTTATACAATTATTTTTAAATTACATTTGACCTGCTACCTTTTTTATACTAAAAAATGTTTTAAGGTTGCTTATTCAAAAAAATTATATCATATTGTATGTTTCATCAAACTTTTTATTCCTCTCCAAATCATGTACATAAAGGATCATAAAACTTGTATTGATTCATTTTTACATTTTCGATCCAACAACGTAAACCTAATTGTATCTCATTATTTTCCAGTCAATCAATCACGAACCAAACTTTTTACTTCTTGCCAAAGCAAGTGCCAACTCTTTTGAGTACTTATATATAAATCTGTCACCACCTCATCAGAATCAAAACAAAATAATTTCTCTTTTGTTTTCTTCGTCTACCTTCTCTTTGATTTCTCAAGGCTTTCCAAAACTTTTTTTTTTCAGAATGAATAAAAGAAAACCAACCATTTACAGATCAATTATTTACGGATATTGTGAAGCAAATGGCAACCCTGAAAGTAGAAACCCTGAACAGGTTAAGCAACTGGGGACGTTAGTCAACTTTCGATGGTTCTTACGATCCAAGAACTACTTTCTCATGGAAGTTACACAATGAAAAACTGGAGTTCATCAAGTGTGAAACCAAGGAAACAAGGCTTGCTATGTCAAGGGCAAGTGAGACCAACCGAGACTATGAAATAAAGTTAATGGAGGTCCAGTTAGAGGTTGGCTTTGAACTGGCTAAAATCTTGGCCGAAACTATCCATCCTGCCTTTGCTGGAACTAATGCCGAAGATGGAGAAGTTTGTGGGATTCGTCAAGAAGATATGGAGAAAGGAGTGGAAGCAAGAGCCATGGCTGACTGCAGCCATAAGTTCCATGGATGTTGTATTTTCGAGTGGGTTAAGAGGAAAAGCGGCTGTCCTTTATGTAGATGTCAGATGGAGACCAAGAAACACTACGAGTTTTAAATTCTTTCATTCATTTTTTTTTTTTTAATGATTTTAATATTGCTACATATGGCTCAAAGAATTTCTTTTATTTATTCTATTTTAACATGTTTTAATAGCAATTTCTTTCGTACAATATGATTATGATCATGATGTATGTTTTGACGTTTTTAATTTTCTTTGGTATTTTTGTATAGAAACGAGTCAGTAGACAATGGCAAAAATATCCATTTGTCAAGCAGGCAGATCGAAGCAGTGCTCCATCCTTTCTCAAAACAAATTCTCCTTTATTTTCCTGATTGGCCTGCAATTTCATATCAGCTCCCATATTTTCTCTCCGTCAAATCAAACGTGCGTTACAAAACTCGAAATATTAACTCGCTGTAATCCCATTAGATTGTAGAAAATATAGGTCGAACAATCTGCTAACTTGACTTCACACCTATACCGTACATTCAAGTCATTAAAACAGTTCTAACGACTTCTGAATCACGAAACTAAACTCCTTTGCCATTGCAAGGCAATTCCCTTTGCCTTTTTTCTGGCCAGAACTTGCTCCCTGTCTTGAAAGTTAAAGCCAAAGCCTCAAGCCCTCAACACAATGGCTAGAAGAATAAACTTTTATGCCTGCTTGACTTGGACACCAGCCAGAATAAATACTTTTAAATGGCCTCATTGATGATCCATCACATGTTCATATGAGTTTGTATTGATTATACTTTTTTTTTACAAAAAGAAATCAATCATACGAAATCTCAAAAATTGGCATGTGAAAACTCGTTGAGTCTTGGGATATTAAATAAAAAAAAAATTTGTTGCTTTCATAATGTTAATCCACTCCTCACATCATCACAATTCAATCTGTTAGAAACTTATTATGACCCACAATTTTTAATAATTTCAACATTTATAAAATATAGGTAACAAGATACAAAAAAAAAAGATAGATAATTACAAATAAATGTAAGCAAAAAATACAAAAAATAATACAAATTAGTTGAAAATAATGAATTCTCATAACAATACATATAATAATCTATTATTCAACATATACTAACTTAGAGACATACTAATAAATATAAAAACACCTATACGTACAAGAATAGAAAAAAAAAGGTCGAATGTTGAGCACTAAAAGTATTCAAACCTTTTCATGAAAGTTAACAGCAAAATTTGCATTGCATGAACCCATGAAAAAGAATTCAGCAGCCTTTGATAAAACAACAGAAAAGCAGTGATGAACATAAGAAATGCAGACTGGCAATACAACCATTCACCCGATTCTTTTATAGCAGTGGAAAAAAGGGGGGGAAAAGAGAGCCAAATTTCGAAAACAAAATGTTTATAGTTCTAAAAACATTGTGCACATCTATGAAAATTGAAATTGTGTAAAATGAAAGTAATCTTTACTTAATTCCAAAATCTTTTACAATGCTATTGCAGTAGAACAAGTTAGCCAAGATTTGACCTTAAAGTGAACACTATTACCTTCTTGAGCTAAAGTAGTTTCAGTGTCCAAGTGGGCTTCTAACTCATTCCACCTTCGAGTTAGATTTGTCATCACTACCTTCTTCAGCTGTAACTGCAGTCTTTGACTCTTCAAACTCCAATAACTGCACATCATGTTAGATCGTATCAACCAAATCACAACATTCCGAATATAGAAGATAATCACTTCGTTGTTCTTTTACCATTATAATCCCACACTCACATAGAATCTGTTTTTTCTTTTTCTTTTTTACAAGCAAAAGACAGTTTGAAAAGAAAATGAAATAAAAATTCCAGGCCAAGAACATGATGCCAGAGAGAATCAAAAAAGGGTAGAGAACAAACCGGTTTGACATCCCCGTTCCACAAACAGTGAGCAGCCAAAAATCCAATAACACCCGGTACAATATACAAAAGTGCAGGCTGAAACCAAAATGAGCATAGCAGACCATCGGGTTGTCATGATAGAGAGCAAGTATATATCCACAAGATCAAACTCTCAATGGATACTGCAGCAAATGCATTAAGAGGAAGACAAAAAACAACGGTTCGTGAATAGCTTACCTGTGCAGCGTGAAACCAGTTCATTACAAGAATTGTAAGGACCAATCCGACTGTGTATCCCAAAAATGCACTCTTAAAATACTGGCTCTCTTTCCCCCTAGAAACATCGAATCTTAATGCCAGTGCTACAAAAATACCTGCAAGGGAAAACATAAACCAATATAAAAAGAGAAAATATTGATCATATATTATTCTGTTTCTGTATCATAGATAATAGATACAAATAATTCTATGAGAAGAAAATTTTTAATATTAAAAGGAATAATGGTCAATCAAAATGGAAATTAAAAGCAGAAACATTGTTGTCCAAATGAGTAAATGTATATTTATCACCATAATTCTTTATACCAATCACTAAAAACCAGAGTCCTAAAGCAAAAGGTTCATCATCTTTCACTTGAGAATAAATAGCATAAGGAAAAAAACAAGCGGCTGATAGTAATTAGTATCACTGCCCAGGAATCTTTGCCATCCTAAGAACAACAATGATTAAGCCATTGGTTAAAAAAGAAAAAATAAATAAATAAAACACTTCCATAATCATACAACATTAGTCAAATGGGCTACAGCAGTAAATGAGATCATACTCTAGAAACAGAATGCATGAGTATCTAAATAGAAGCAGTCAAGAAAGAACCCTATGAATTTCAGAAAGCCAGTTAACACACTTCCTGTGAGCTTGAATTATGGTAAGCCTTGAACATCAAACCATATGAATGAAGTAAAAACAGCTGTCAAGACAAATACATCAGACCTCTAGATACAAAACAAAATACAAAATACAATTACTAAAGGAAATAGTCATGTTAATTTCACCTGTTTCAACATTATCTAAGAAAGACTTCTTTTTTTTTTTTTAGTTAGAATGACTTCATCATAAAATAATACAAAACAAGAAACACAAAATAACAGCTCAAGCCATAACAACACCATGCATTAGACCTATCAACTAAAAAATGGTTTTCAAACATACCAGGTATTACAATGTCTCCAAGTCCAAGCATAGAAAATGGTCGTGCAGAGTCTGCTGTTGGGAACAAAAGCTGCAGAAAAGTATTAAAGCATTTAGATCACCGTAATACATTGAAAGTATAAGGAATATATGTAGAAATAAAAGCTAAAACAGGCCAAGTATTTCAATTAACAAAGAGAACTGACCTTTATGGGAGCATCGAAAGACTGAGCAACACTAACCATCACAGGAGTGAAGAAAACCCAGAAAATATCATATACAAAAAGCCCAGCCTGAGAAGGCAAAAATCATACAGAAAACATAGTTGCACATGAGAAGGCAAGTATATGAATTGGTCAAACATAGCCTTACAATTTAGCTAATCAGAAACAAAAAGAAATCAACATAATCATGCCAGCATGATAATTAAAATAAAATTTTGATCAAAGTAGGTTTCAAAGGAACCTGGAAAAAAAAAAAAAAGAAAAACCTGAGTTCAAGAGTTACTAGAAAAATTTAAGAACTGCTAATATGAAAGCATGAAGCTTGGAACTAGCAATTGTCAAGGAATCATAAACTTGTGTGATGCTCAGAATCCACATGCTAAAATAAATAGAGATTAATGCAGCCAGTTGCATAAACATCAATGATCATGCGATACAATCCACGTTAGTGAGCTGGTGGCAGTTGAGACATGAAAACATAGTTATCAATCTCTTTCAAAACAAGGTAAATAAATAGAGTGGTTTGAAAAGAATGAATAAGATAACTCTCTTCAAAACGACTCCATGAAAAAACATCTTAATTAGAGTCTGCAATTAACTTCAACATAGATAGAGTTCCTTCATGTTCCATTATCAATAGAAAATTTTCAAGAAACCAACAATATTTCATTCAAAAGTTTCACCCGAGAAGAAGAAGGATTATTCTTTAATCTCTTCCACTTCAAAGTGTCAATTGATATAATCTATGAATAAGTCAATAAACCATCTTCAGAATTAAAAAATGCAAGATCTTGCCAAAAAATTGCAAATGATAACCAAAAACATAAGTTTAGGTAAATATTAAGATGCTGACCATGTCTATATTCAGCACAATAATTTCTATGACAACCAAAAATTTTTCTCCAGACACACCATCAATCAAATAATATGTACATATAAATTTTTTAGTCTGTATCTATTGAATCTCATTTGCAATTATTTACATGCTTATGCAAATTTGTCTTACTAATACATTATTGCCATAATTGAAGCACATTCACAAGAAATGCTTGACACAATGAAGAAAATACAGCAATGAAATGCACATGCAGACTTACAAAAAAAATGGCTCCAAGCCCATAAGTACATCTAACCATCATGAATGGCAAGCAAAATGTCCAATAATGAAGCTAAAACAACCATAGAATACGTGTCTTCCAAAAACTAATAAACCTCAAAAACTCAAAACAAGAAAGAATGTTGGCATAAAGTGTAAGATAGAAGATGCAAGGACCAATTAAGTCTCTGTTAAAGAAGATAGCTAATAATAAGCAATTATAGGGAAGTTGTCCAATTCATTGATCATGATGAGCTAAAAACATGCAAATCATTGCTACATTAAAAAAAAAATAGAGTTAAGTTGTCTCAATAACAGGGAATAATACTTTTCATAAATAACCACAATAACTAAAACCACTAATCCACTTCTTACCAAGAGAATGGCACCAGTCTTGAAAGATCCAAGAGAAAGCATTTCAATTCCCTACAAAAACCAACAATGTAAACCTTCAAATCCAGCTAGTTAATATGTGTACTCCAATTGACAAAATTAAAGCCATAAACTTCAATAAGTAGTAGGAAAAAAAAAAGGTGTTGGGATATAGATAAATCCTAAATGTCTTCACAAAATTATTAAACGATAAAGAAAAATAATACTTTCATAATCCTTGAACTTCTTAATAAAACCCTAGCCACAAATTTGATAGGATCAACTATATGCTGACGCTAACACGAATTATTTTAAAAACTAAGGTGATTTAAATAACTGTAGCAAATGATGAATTGGAGTCTGTTAGACAATTTGAAATGCTGGAGCAAAGGAACATATTTTCATTTTTGTAATATGCTCATCCAAAAAGTACTTTTCAGCTAACAGAAATAAGAACTTCCAACTTATGTGTTTAAATACTGAAAATAAATATAACTAATAAATATCATTTTATCTGGTATCATTGAAAATCATAGAAAAAGGAGTAGATGATTTTCCAAGTATCAAATAACTCATTAATCAGACATTGCTGTTCATTAGCAACTAGCAAGGTCAACAAGACAGGTACTTCAGACAAACCTGAATGCAAAAAGAAAGGCCCAAAATGTTATTAGCCAGCCAATGCTTCTGTGAAGCATACCATGCACAGAAAAAAGTTCCAGGGATCGCAGCTACAATCTGAGATCTTGTGAACTCAATGTCCAAAGCTGTTTAAGAAAGGTGCAAGGAAAAACATCATTCTGCATCACAAAAAATCAACTAGATCAAATAAGGACTCTAAGGCGTCAATAATGGATATGACCGAACAAAGATGTACTCAACTTTAAACAGGAAAAAGTTACATCACTCCAGCAAAAATTTAACACCTAAAATTCCAAAAGCATCCATAGAAATAGGCATTCAGCTTATTCCAGTGGGCAGACCTGGCAACTTTATATAGCGCAAAAACCAGAATGCTAGTAAACTGCCAAAGGAACATAAAGTCCCAAGAAAGGGTATCATGTCAAGCAAAGAAATAATTCCATTTTAGATTTATGGAAATTCCAAGGGCAAATCCAGGAAACTGAAGAATATTTGAGCTGGAGCTTTGAAAAAACTAACAAATTATAAAAAGCCAGAGAACTTAAATGCACCTAGTATCATTTCATGAGAAAAAGAAAGTTCCTACTATCTCCATCCATCACTTCCTTCCACACACAAGAAACTCATCTGAAGTAATTTTCAGACCAAAAAATGGGAAATAACATAAAAGCACTGAATCAATAAGAAACTATCACAAATACAAGTACATTTAAAAACATCCAATCAAATATCAATGATGCTTGCCTCAATAAAAGATGTAATAAAGCCAAAATAAAGCAGAATGTCATAAAAAAAATAAGGTTGAAGCAACAGCTAAAACAGAGTATGCATTGCAAAAAAAAAAGGAGTTATATCCAGTTCAAAAACTAGACAGATACTATTATAAGTAAAGTTAAAAATATACTTCAAAAGAATTATAAAAGAAGGGGCATACAGCGAAAGTATGGAAAATGCCAAATGATAAGATCCTTATTCCAATGCTTAGGCAAGAAGCGTTTTATGGCAGGTAATATTGTTGCCCTGAGAACAATGGCAGAAAGAATAAATGAGATAATAATACAAAAGATTATGACCTATTTGAACTATTTGTATAAAGTAAAACAATAGTGGCAAATCCATATGGAAAGAACATACGAAAGAGCAATGATTCCAAGCACAAAGAAATAGCATGTCAACACTGCATTAACCAAGTCTTTCGATAAGAACTTGAACAGTAAGAAAAGTGATAACAGCATCGCACTCCCAATGAAGGGAAAACGCATAGCATGCTCACTAGACATTGTCTCCTGTATGATAGACATGATACTGTTAGCCAATTTTGATCTAAAGTACTTAATAACAACACAAGAAAGTGGCAAGATTAATTTAAATGCTACCATACTCACCAATGGTGGAGTTGGTTTGACAGATCGATAGCAGCCCACATATACTGCAAGGCATGCAGTCAAAATAACATTCAGGTTAGGGTCCACCTTAACAAAAAGTGGTGCCAATGTCAACCCTGCGTTTAGAAAACCATGCAAGCTACATTAAAAAAGTCAAGTTTCTCACCCTGTGGAAATAGAATATGTATGTGCCTCCTTAGAGATCTCATATCAGACAGTGACTTATAATATGAAATGCTCTAGGTTCCAAATATTCTCTAAAAGAATCAACCACAAGACCAATATCTATTTTTCACCATTATATTGAGCAAGATTCATGAAGTATGAAATCTAATATTTTCAAAGATAGAATAATAATGCATTTTGGACTGAGAAAGTTGGGGATATGCGACGCAAGGTGCATCCATATGGTTGTTACTTTTGCTAATTACTTTCTTGGTTCATAAAAAGTTGCTAAAAAGAAAAAGAAATTAGATAACAAAATCATAATTAATTAAAATAAGAAAATAGTTAAAATGTAACACAAATTCTAACTTAATTGTTTCATATAAAACTAAACTCATGCATTTTGCTACTTAATTCTTCCAAAAAAAAAAAAAAAACTTACATCCAGAGCAACAACCAAACAAAGCCTAAATTTCCATTCCTCAATTTTTTTAAAAAGTGCAAGAAATGAAATTCGTTTAAATTTTCCACATATAACCATAACTTTATAAATAAAACATAGATCTTCCATACCATAAAATAATAAAGCTACCCCATATCTACCAAATTACAGATTCCCAAAATGGGAAAAAAAAAAAAAAGTCAAATTCCACCCCTAATCACTTCTTTCCTACCAGTTCTCATCTTTTCTTTGCCACTTAAACCCAAAGGCAGTGTAACTAACTAAACCCTCTCTGCTAATAATCAACTAAATCAACAAATGAATAATGAAATTGAACGAAAAATTATCCAAAGAAAAAAGAATTCGATAAAAACAAACCAAAATGTAAATAATAAACTAAACTTAATCCAGAATAGATAAAAAAAAAAAGGCAAACCTGCTAAAGCGAAATTGGCGAGTCGTTCTGTGTTCTTCATCGTCGTCGTTTATTTCTAATATAACAGCGACGTAAACTCGAACTTATTTTTAGCTAAAAAAAATTAAAAGTCAAAATAGATCGAAACAATTAATGAATTAGTTGAGAAATAAATAAAATTAAGATTTAAATGAATTTCCAAGTAAAATTAGGATTAGAACCTTTGATTTTATAAATCTCTTTCTCTCTCTAACGGTGGATGGACTTTTAAAGATCGGAGATATCGGAAATGACAGCAAAGAAAAAGAGAAAGAGAGAGAAATTTTCTAAATTTTTTTATAATTCATTTTCTCAGATTGAGAGAAAATTTGGGTAAAGGACTAACGGTATAAATCAGGCGGTCAATGTATTATACGTTATTATTATTTATTATCACATTAATTCATAAATTTAATAAATTAGATGTGTTTAAAAATAAATATTAAAAATTATTTAATTAAAAAATAGTTATTGAATATTTTTAATTTTAAATTTTAAGGATTGTTAATTTTTTAAATTTAGGAATTAATAAGATAGTAATATATGATGCATAGATTATATATTGATAGTGAATAAAAATAAATCATATATATATTCTCTTAAAAAACCTTATATCATATATAATATTATATTACAATATACATAAAAAATTAATAAAATTTGCATATGTGGATACTTACGTGAACAACTTATATTATTGACATGGAAGATATTTTCAAATAATTTTATTCAATCAATTATTTAATTTTTTAAAATTTTAAAATTTACATTTATTAAAGTCTTTAAAAATATATAAGATTTATTTTAATTTAAATCTAATAAAATATATTTTCTCATATTTCACTCTTACCCAATTCAAATAGTTTTTAAAGATTAAATCCTTAAATTTTTAGAATAAAAAATTATACACTGTCTAAATTAATATTTATATAAATTTAAATAAATAAATTTTGTGGTTGAACCACTCTTATTTACTAATATTTTGTCTTTATTTTTTTATAATTTAAAATAAAAAATATTTTATCTTAATTTAAAATTACACATATATCTAAATTTAAAATAATACTAATTTTTTTATCTTAATTTCAAATTAAACTTGGATAAATTAAATTTTTTAAATTTAGATTTTTTAAATTAAGTAATTATCAAATATATATCTATAATTTTTTTCACAATCAATATTTTCTTCTTTTCATCATAAAAGATTGACAAAATAAAGTTTCAAAATTAAATATGAAAAAAATTTTCATAATATATCACATGTGTAAATCATATCATATAAAATATTATATTACAATATACATAAAAAGTTAATAAGATTTGCATATATTGATGCTTATGTGAAAAATCTATATTATTGACATGTAAGATATTTTTAAATAATTTTATTCAATCAATTATTTAATTTTTTAAAATTTTAAAATTTATATTTATCAAAGTCTTTAAAAATATATAAGATTTATCTTAATTTAAATCTAATAAAATATATTTTCTCATATTTCACTCTTACCCAATTCAAATAATTTTTAAAAATTAAATCCTTAAATTTTAGGAATAAAAAATTATACACAGTCTAAATTAATATTTATATAAATTTAAATAAATAAAATTTGTGGTTGAACCATTCTTATTTACCAATTTTTTGTTTTTATTTTTTTATAATTTAAAATAAAAAATATTTTATCTCAATTTAAAATTGCACACCTATCTAAATTTAAAATTATACTAACTTCTTTTATCTTAATTTCAAATTAGACTTGGATAAACTAAATTTTTAAAAATTTATAATTTTTTAAAATTAATTAATTATCAAATATATATTTATGATTTTTTCACAATCGATATTTTCTTTTTTTCATCATAAAAGTTTGATTAGATAAAGTTTCAAAATTAAATATGAAAAAGTTTTTCATGATATATCACATGTGTAAATATTAGTTTATACTAAAATAATATATACTTTAAAAATTTTATGTAATTGTGAATAAGAGATTTGATATTTGTATATAATTTTACTTTCATAATTTAAAGCTTTCATAATACTTATTTAGATTATTTCATAATAATTTATATATAAACAATTTTTTTAATTTTAAACTACAAATTATAAATGATTATGATTAGTTTTATTTATCTATATATAATATAAAAATTGATATAAATTAAAATTTTAAATTCTAAAAAATATAGTAAAAAACTCTATGCATGACACAGGTAAAAAAACTTAGTTATATTATAAAATATATAATAACCTCTTATAGTTTAAGCGAAATCACATATGTATTCTTTTAAAAAAGACCTTATATTATATTATAAAATATATAATTTCCTGTTAAAGTTTGCTCAATTAGTAAATAATAAATATTATCGACACATAAAATAATTTTTTAATTATAATTATCTATTAAATAACCTTATAAAAAATCTAGTTTTTTTTAACTCGTACAATGTACGGGATTTTTATTAAAATTTTCGTAAGTTTAAATTTATTTTTTAAATATTTATCTAATATATAATTATATATTTATAAATGTTAAGTTACAATTAAATGATAATTTATACAAAATATATTATAAATGATATTGTTCATCTAAAAAAGTCTAAATTTTTTTAATTTTAAAGAATTATAAAATATTTTTTATTAAAAAATATTTTCTTCAATTTATTTGCTAAATACTAAAAATTTTGCTCCAACTTTTTTCTTGTTTAATAAAAAATAACCTCATAAAAATATTTCAAATTTAAAAATAATAGATTTATCCAAAATTATTATGTTAAATAATTTATAATTTTTATTCTTAAGATTGTCATCATTTCAATGAAAATTTTAAAAATAAAAATCTCATTTAAGATTAGGGTCTCATATTATATTGTATTTGGATTTCAAAACGTAATTTTTTAAGGTAAACGTAATACTAAACATATTATAATTTATGCTAAAAGTATTTTTAAATAATTAAAAATGAACCAACAACTAGTAATCGAGAGATACAATTATGATTTGAAATTTATGATTTAAGGACAAGTTATCAAATATTCACTTAATTATTTGTTTTTAATAAAAAAACCATTTTTTCTAACATCACTTTCCTTGACATTTTAAGTTCTATAATAATATTAAACATTTAAAAATGTTAAATCATAATTTTTTACAACAATTTTTACAGTAATTTTCAAATACACTTTTTCCAAATCAAAATTTTTTATTTGCAATAAATTAGGTTTAATTTAAGCATATTTTTTAATAGAATCAATGCATATTTTTTGTGTTAAATTATTATCATAAATAATTATTAAATTATAATAAAATATTTAAAATGATAAATATATTTTTAATATTTTTAATATGATATTTAAATTATAAATTTATTGATTAATGTAAAATTAAAAACAATCAACTATAATATTCAATCTTATTATTATTTTTGTGTTTACATTAATATATTTTTTTTATTATTAATTTTAATATCATCACTCCGATATCTAACCACTACAATATCTAATATCATTAATATTATTATTCTCGGTCTCATAAAAATTGATCTCATGTCTATTCGAATTCAAATGTACACTAAAGCCATTTTGTCCTCCTTTATTTATTTATTTATTTTTCATTCTTAACCTTATTTAAAATACATATATAATAAATTGTTAAAGAACCAAAAGCCAGATACGCTTTCCAAACCCCCAAATACCGTCCATAATTAAAACAAAAAAAAAAAAAAAAAAACCCGTTTCGTATTCTTTCCTTTTTTTTTTTTCTTCTTGGTTTTGGATTTTTCCTTTCTTGTTTTTTTTTTTGGCTGAAAGTATGTTGTAATGTTGTAAAGGTGATGTTTCCAATGATTTTGCTATCAAAGTATAAGCATTTAGGTTAGCTAGATTGGGTTTGACCTGAAATTTGTTAGCTTGTCGTGTTTTTTATGATTGGATTGTAATACTTAAGTGGAAATTAAAGTGTATTATGTGCTAGTGCTGAACATGATTATAGTTTTTAATTATGTGTTGTGAGCTAATGAAGGGCACTTAAAGGCTCAAGTAGGGCATGGTTCTTTTGAACATTCAAGTTTGATTTTGATTTAGTTTAACTGCAATCTAGATTCATAATCATTTGCTGTGGATTGAATTAGTTTGCTGGAATTATGATGTAAGATAACTAATGAGGGACATTAGATAATTGATAAGATTTCTTATTATGTTTGCTGTTTTTGCTAATGTGATTTTAATGTGTGCAATTGCAGATTGAACATGTTGCAAAATTGATACAAAAGGTTTGAACCTATGCCAACTCGCTCATGTCACGGCTACTCTTTTGATATCTCCATCTCAAAGCTCTACCACCCCACAAATTTCTTCCCCTCCTTCCTTCCCAATCAAAATGCCAACACTAATTTCCAGTTTAGAACTCTTCAAATGCCAGAAAACCCATCAAATAGGGCACTGGATTCTTTCGTGGTGGAGAAGATTCTGTTCGGTTTAAATCTATGTAATATGAATTCTTTGCATAATTATCGATTTTGATTAAACACATTGATTGTAATTGAGGTTCTTTCGCATTACTGTGATAATTTGCAATTGGGTCAAAGATTTGTTGATTTTCTTATGCTTAATTGCTCGAATTTTAAGCATTCTTTGATGTCTTTAAGTGCAATGACTCATGTTCTTGTGAAATGTAAAAGGTTATGATGCACAGGCTCTCGTTCTTAGGATGGTTAGGAAGAGTGGGGTTTCACATGTTGAAATTGTGCAGTCTTTGGTTTCGATTTGTTGGAATTTTGGGTCAAATGATTCTGTTTTTTATTTGTTAATTAGGACTTATTAGAAAGCTGGGAAGTTAAGGGAAGCATCCGAGGCGTTTAGGATTTTGAGAAGTAGAGCTTTTTATGTTTCTATTAATGCTTGTACTAGTCTTCTTGGTGGGTTAGTGAAGATTGGATGGGTTGATTTGGCTTGGGAAGTGTATGACGAAGTTGTTAGAGCTGGGGTTGAATTAAACGTTTATACATTAAATATTATGGTTAATGCTTTGTGTAAAGATGGCAAGATCAGAAGAGTTAAGTCGTTTGTATCAGAAATGAAAGAGAAGGGGGTTTATAGTAATATTGTGACATACAATGCAATAATTAATGCATATTTCTGTGAAGGGCATTTGGTAGAAGCTTTTGAGTTGATGAACTCGATGTGGAATAAAGGGTTGAAACCTGGTCTTTTTACTTATAATGCGATCATGAATGGGTTGTGTAAGAGAGGGAATTTTGAAAGAGCAAAGAAGTTTTAGACGAGATGCTGCAGATAGGGTTGAGTCCTGATACTACTACATATAACACATTGCTTGTTGAGAG